AAATAATATTTCAAAAATTTATAAATAAAGATTTCTCCTACAGTGTTATTTCAAAATAGTAACATTATAAAACAACCTAAACATATAGCAAAAGGAGTTTGATTAAATAAATTTCTACTTACATACTCAAACTAATATTAAACAGTGCTATAATAGCTTGATAAAGGAGTTTGAGATAACAGAAAATCTCTTGTTGAAATGTTAAGTGAAAATTTAGGATACAAAAGACCCTGACATATACAAAAAATGATCAGAAATTCATGAAACTATCTGTAGGAAAGAATGATGGATTTATGTTTTAGAACTATGAAGAAATTTTCAATTGGTTTATATTAATGACATTTTTGTAGTAATCCACTTATAATAAATATCTTTTTCTATAATAAAGAGTTAGGCATTGGTACATAGGTGGGAGGCTGTCTTTTCCCTTTCATAAAAAGAGAAAGTAACCCCACAACGGATTACTTTCAGTGAGTGGGGCTGTTCCTGAGGGGCATAGTGATGCATCTTCTCAAACCTGTTAATTCCAGTGGTATTAGGTAATATGATACCATATTTCTATGAAAGGATGTGATAAAAGGTAAATTTCTTAAATGAATACTTTCAAACTACTTGTGTGTCAGTGATACTGCAAAACATTGCAGAAAAATATCTGGAAGAATTTTTGCATTCAGATTATCAACCAGCTGTCTTTAATTCTTTTCCCTCAAAAAAATAAGAAGTGACAGTGGACAGTAAAATGACAATCTATGTTAGTGTGATTTTTGCAAGTATATAAAAGGATGCCCAGTTAGCATGCTGAAACACAAGGTCACGGTCTCTTGTTACAAACACAACACTTGAATATGTATTTATATATGGCAAGCAAAAGTAAGATGGACAATTGTAGATCAACTTTTTAAACAAACTCGCCAGTTACTCATCTTCATTGGTCCAATAAAAAGGCCTCCACTACATATAATATGTGCACAGAAAAGTTTTTACTGATAATAAATGTAAGTCATAATTTAAGAAATCAAGCCAAGGGCTGAACATATGGCTCAGTTCCATTCCCAACACCCATGTCTAGTGGTTCACAACCACCTGAAACTCCAGCTCCAGAGGGATCCAACACCTTGTTCTGGACTCTGTGAGCACCTATAGTCACCTAAACTCACACTCAGAGACATACAGATACTTATAATAAAAAATATTTAAAAAAGGAATCAGGTTATGCATATGCTTACAAGTGAATATATACATGTACAGGTGTGAACATATAAAGCCATTTGTATGTGTGTTTGTGCAAGTCTGCATACACACATGCTATTTATACACCATGAAATTAACTGCTCTACTGATTGACCAAATCATGCAGTGATGCAATAGACCTTTGATAAGGAGGTAATTTAGCAAACCCAAAGTGTGAAATTAAACTTAGTGACAATAAGCTAAGCATGGTGCATGTAGCCACCATGGTTCTGCTTGGAAGCATCTTGTTTAACTTTCTGTTCCTTTATCCTTATCAGCAATGGCCAGAGCCAAGGCATTTCTTGTTCAGACTTCCTAAGATTCACCCACTGGTGGGGTTCAAGCCCCAACCTAAAGCACTTAGTGGAGAAGTACCATTTAGAGCCAACCCAGAAGTTTATCTAGGAACTCTTTAGTTAGCCCAGGTTTTCAAGATCCTTCCTCTTCATGTGAAACAAGGACTAACTAAAGGAGTTCAGAACTCCCAAATGATGAAAACAGTCACTCTTGTTGGAACACATACAAGAACATTTTGGTTTGCTGAAAGGACATATTTTCAGTTTTCTCTTTTGCTGTAAGATAAAAACAATGACAGATAGGTAGAGAGATGATGGGTAGATAGATGATAGATAGATAGATAGATAGATAGATAGATAGATAGATAGATAGATTGAT